GCCGTGAAACAGTACTGACTACGGAGATCTGGCTTTAGAGCCATGAAGACTCATGTTCAAGACTTTTGATGCATGTTGGCCATGTGATCCTGGACAAGTCACTTAACTTCAGGGTCCTAAGCAACTCTCCAAAACCGTTAGTTGCAAAGAAGGGGCCAAATTGCACTGGTGGAGGGAATTTCCCCCTCTTGGAGTTCTCTCTGCCTATAGAATCACACAGATCTGGTCCATAACCCCATCTGATGACTTAGCAGGTAAGTCCTAGGAAACTGACAGAGACTTCTATTGATTTCTCTCTCTCTCCATTGACTGGATCTGTCTGGAAACTTCTTCCTCCTCACTCCCACCTCCTTGATTCCTTCCAGGCTCAGTTCAAGGGTCACCACTTCCTGATCCTCCCTAGAATTCACCCGAGAATTCTATTTTGTATATATTCTGAATATAGCTATTTGTGCAACTGTTCCTCTCTCCCAGTAAAATGTAAACTTCTTGTGAACAGGCATTGTTTTATTCTCTGTACATGTACTCCCAGGTCCTAAAATATAGGAGGCGCTTAATAAATGCTTGTGACTGAATGATTGCAATCCTCTGTCTGGTGTTCAAAGCCTGCATGTAACCCAGCCCCCTTCCCAGCTTTCTGGTCTTCTTACCCCCAAGTGCTCTTCAAAGAACTAAAGCTGGCTTCCTGACTGTTCCCTGCACAAAAGGCTTCATTTCCTGGCTATGGACATGCTCTCTGGCTGTTGGCCCCCCACGCTTGGAAGGCTCTTCCTCTTCATCTCCACTTCCTGGCTTTCTTTGAGTCCCTGATAAAAGCCCATCTTTTATGGGAAGCCATTCCCCACCTCCCATTTTTCTAGTGCTTTTCTTCTGTTGATTATTTCCCATTGATCCTGTATAGGATATATATCCTATAGCATACCATATATAAATATCATACATCCTGTTTGAACATAAGTTGTTTGCATGTTATCTCCCCCATTAGACTGTGAGATCCTTGAGGGCAGGGACTGTCTTTTGCCTTTCTTTGTATCCCCAGTGCTTAGCATACTGCCTGGTACATATAAGGTGCTTAATAAATGTGTATTGATGATTGACTGATCAAATGTCATGGTTAAATGCAAGTGTTCCTGACTTGCCCAGCACCCTATCAACTATGCCATGATGATGATGATAATGATGATGTTGATGATGATGATGAAAACACCTAGAACTGAATCTGGACCACTTGAGAAACAGATCCTTGTTCAGTTATCTTTATTTCTGGTATGAAGAGCAGTCCTCTGCTTCTGCTCCAAGAACTACCTGGCAGAGGGATTTGGGTAGAAGGTAATTGTCCCAGGGCTGGGGAACAGCTGACCCTCACAGCTGCTGCTGAGTTGAGGACATTAAAATAGAATGGCCATTATTGAAACGAATCCTGTTTTTCCCTAGCACGCCTGCTGCCGGTGGATACCCTAATGGCTCCCTCCTCCCCTCTCCCACCTCCTTCCCACTTGCTCATCCCCTCTCTGAAGCAGTAATGGTTACAAATGAACCCACTCACCACATATTAAAACCTGGGAATAAGGTCTGTAGCCTGTCATAGCGTTCACAGAAATCTCTCTCCAATGGGATCTGGGACAGTCTGGTGGCCAAGAAGACATGTTGGGAGGCTGGAGATCAGGACAGTGGAAGAGGAGAGGTGTACAGGGCTCCCTCCAGCTCCACAGTGTGTATGTGGTGGAAAGGATATGAGCTGTGGAGTCAGAGGGTATGGGGCCAGATCTTAGCTCTACCCCCTTCTGCCTGAGTGACCTTGGTGACATTACCTATTCTGAGTCTCACTTTCCTCCTCTGTGAAATGAGGGGTTTAGACTTACATTCTGTTCTCCATATGGATCCATTCTTACCCCATTTTTGACATATTGAATTTTAAGAGAATGTGGTGTGGCCGGTAGAAAGCTAGATTTAAGAGTCAGGAAGAATCCTGCCTCAAACACTAGTTTTTTGGCCCTGGACAAGTCACTTAACCTGTCTGAGCCTCAGTTTCTTTATCTTTAAAATCTCTGACTGTTTTTTGCAGAATCCTATTTCAAGAAAGCCCCTTCCATGCTTCACTTTGATCTCTCCTCTCGTGCTATGCCTTTCACTACCTCGTTGCCAACTAACACACTGACTGACATATACTAAGCACTTAAAAGCTTTCATTCATTCCTTTGTTCATTCATTCATTCACCCTTCCATCCATCTGACAATCATAGGACCTGTTAGACCTTGTTCAGCACCTTCCTTCCTATGCAACTTTGAACAATTAATTCATTCTCTGAGCCTCAGCTTACCCCTCTGTGAAATGAAATAATTAGACAAGCTGGTCCCTTCCACTTCTAACCCCTATTGTCCTATGATTTATGACCTGAGCAAGACTTCAGACTAGTGTCCTTGAGAAGAAGATGGTAGCTAAAATATCTGTGACTTGGGGAGGGGGAGAGAAGAGAAATGGCACATTATGGCTGAAGGGCAAACAGTGACTCTAGTGTCTTCTGTGATCTGATTAACTGGAGTCTGTACTATCTCTGCTCAGACTCATCTTCTTGAGTTCAAATCTAGCCTCAGATATTTTCTAGCTCTGTGACCTTAGGCAAATCTGTAAAAATGAGCTGGAGAAGGAAATGGTAAACCACTCCTCTACCAAGAAAAGCCCAAATGGGGTCACAAAGATTCAGAGATGACTGAAAAATGACTGAACAACTATCTCTGCTAGTCACTTGATTCTATAAGGTGAGGCTAAATGATTCTGAGAATGATTGGGGGTTGGTAAGTATTTGAAGCAAGATTTGAACTCAGTTCTTCCTAAGTACAGCATTTTATCTTATATGTTGCCTAGTAGCTTAAAGTACCTTATTAGTATATAAATCCATATATATATCCATATATATATAAATATAAATCCATATATATATCACTTTGTAAACCTTGAAGCATTATGTACCTGTTATTATTATTATTATCATTATTATCACCATTATCTTTTGGCTGGGTCTATTTCATTTCTAGATGTGAGTTCTTGTATTGGACCCATATTTGATCCAGAAAGCAGTCCATTAGAATCTCTACAGTCGTCTGTTGTTCCATCATATCTGAGACAAAGATTAGACTATTGTAAGAACCTCTGAGTTCTATTGCATCCATTTCTGATTGATAAGGACTCAGAAACTGTATTTCTGCAAGCTAAATGGAATCACACGGTCTAAAGAGTTAACAAACAGACTTCCATTTTTGGTTGCTTTTCCCCCCCTTAAAAAATGGTGTGAAGGAAACCTAACACCCTACACTGAGGAATAAAAAGGTCACAGTGAAATGAAAGGGTCAGAGCCTAAGAGCTCTCCAATGAATCGTGAATTCCAGGCAAACCAGGGGCAGGGCTTCTTCCTTACCTTCTTGAATGCCAAATCACAGGTATTGTCAGATTCTAATAATGGAGGGCGGCTTGCTGTCATTGCTGTGAATGGCAATTAAGGTAAACCACACACACGCGCGCTTGCGCGCACACACACACACACACATGACTTGCTGGGTTTGTCTTAAGAAGACACAATAGAGAGCTGTTAGACTAGGTGGTCTCAAAGGGCCCTTTCACTCTAAAGCTCAGGAACCTACATAATATAATAATAATGCTTATTGTCAGGCCAGATTGATAGCTATGAGTCAAGGAATACTGTGATCTCTACAGAACTTAATCTACAGCTCACCCCAGGGGCCAGAAAAAGGTGCACGCTGGGCGTGTGCGGGATACAGAGCATTATAAACATGGAATCACAAGGGAGCAGCTGAGCAAAGGATGTCGTTAAATAAATGTATGAGTGAAAAAGACATGGGACTGACCGCAAGGGAGGTGTGAGGGATACAGCATTTTAATAATGTCGGGGGTTTTTTTTCTGTGAAAAGTATTCGCCCAAACCCTTCTTCTGGATCCAATTAGCAATCCTGCCACAAGCATTCTCTGGAATCCAAATAGGTGCCTAATTAAGAGGCATAGCCTCATAATGCAGAGCTAGGAGGGGACCTCAGAAACTATCTAGTGTAATCAGCCCATTTTATAGAGAAGGAAAACTGAGGCTCAGAGGAGTTTCACTGAGGCCATGGATCATAAAACCTTAGCACTAGAAAGGACTTCAGAGATCATCTAGTCCAATCTGCCCACTTTACAGAGGAGGAAAATGAGGCTCAGAGAAGTTTCACAGATCATAGAATCTCAATACTAAAAGAAGGGACCTCATCTAGCCCAACCCACAGCTGAACAGTCACTTGTTGGACAACAGGGACCCATCTCACCTTTTCTGGGGCAGCTAGAGACTAGGAGAGATGGCCTTTGGGTGGTCATACTAAAGTCCATGGAGAGACTTGCCAAAGGTCATTGGATCCTAGGATTATAGACACAGAGCCCACTTAGTCTAAACTTCTGTTTTTACAGATGAGGAAACTGTCCCAGAGAAGAGGGCCACACAGGTAGCAAGTGGCAAGGCTAGATTCGAAGCCAGGTCCTGGGCCTCCATGTCTTCAGATCTGTGTCATGAGGAGGGAGAGGAAAGGAATAGGAAGGTAGTATGATACAAAAGAAAACATTGGCTCTGGATTCAAATCCAGTCTTTGACGTCTATACCTGTGCTATTTTGAGACAGTCACTTAACTTCCCCAACCTTCAGTTTCTTCACTTGGCCCAGTGCCTGACACATAGTAGGTGCTTAATAAATGCCTCTTTCCTTCCCCCCAGATGGGGTCCTTCCAGTCACAGAGCCGTCATTTGACGACTGGTTTGGAATTCTGATCTTTGCTACTCATTAGCTAAATAACCTTGGACAGGTCAAGTCAACACACCTCCATGAAGCTGCTACTATATACATCACTTTCTTGGGGAGGAGGGGAGGGAAGCCTCAGTTTCCTTATCTGTAAAATAAAAGGGTTGGACCAGTTGGCTTCTGAGGCTCATTCTAGCCATGGTTCCCATGGTCCTATTATACCTGCACCCTTGGCCAGACGTCCTGGATCAACAGGCTTACTTAGGGGGCTGGTTTCCGTCAACACTCCTCTCCTTGGTGCAAGGATTGGCAACCAGAGGCATTTAAAACTTGTGAGGAGGAAGAAAGCTGGGAGCTCCTTCAATTCCAAATCTTCCTGCCAAAGAGTAAAGATAAAGGGTGTTTATCTAGAGCTGATTAGGGTCCTGTTTCCTTCTTTAGCATGGAGTTCAGAAATCATTTCCTAAACTTTATCAATGAGAAAAAATGAAATCCTGTCTGACTGGACCTCAAATGGCCTCGTGGCTGGAGTTGTGGAGAAGGAAGGCATGTCTCAGATAGGGACTTCACACCTGTTCCTTAGTAGCCCCCAGGAGAGTCAGCAGAAGCAGTATGCAAAGCAGAGGCTGCCTGGGCATAGAAAGGAGCACAGGGCTTGGAGTCAGAGGGCCCGGTAGAATCCACCTACCTCTGGTTCTTTGGATGTTCTGTGTGAGCTTGGACAAACTACTTATGCATCTAGACTGGATGGTTTCTAAAGGTCTGTCTAACCCTAGATCAGCAGAAGTTAATGTGCAGGGGACAGTGAGAGACCTGTAGAACCTGGTCCCTACCAGTTCTGACTGTCTCTTCTATGTTCGAAAGTCCTTCCCACCTTTAACTTCTAATTTCTGAGATCCTTTTCAGCTCTGACATCCTACGTTCTGTGTTCTAAGATCTCTTCTAGCTCTAATGTTCTACGTTCTAAGGTCCTTCCCATCTCTGACATTCTATATTCCAAGGTTCTTCCAGAGTCAACATTTTACATTCTCTGTTCCAGATTGTGTCCTAGCTCTGACTTTCTATGTTCCCAGTCTTTGGACCCCCCACCCCTTTCCAAATTGGATGTGCTTTCTTGGCTCTGCTTTCAGCCCTTTGAAGGTAGGTTGCTATTAAGACTCTGGGACACTCTAGTACCCATTCAGTGGGCTTGGGTCATTAGCAGAGATTTCCATACCCTGAACAGCAGGCATCTGCTTTGTTGTCAATTACCCAACTGGACAAATCCACTCCAGAGGGGCTTTTGGTCTAATAAACACGGGGCTGGGATTGTACACCTTCTTGCTATTCTGGGAGAATTACTTTATAAACATTTGAGTTCATTTAAAGACCACAGGGGTGGGATTGGGGTTTATGAAGCCTCTTTAGAGTTACCCCGCCCTCCCTAGGACATACTGCCAATAAGTACATTGTGGGAAGAGTTAGACTGAGTCCTCTGGCTTCACACAAGCACACACACAAAACCAATAACAACAACACAACACTAAGAAAAAGCAATGGAAATTGGGAAAGTGGAAATGGCTTATTATGTTCATGGGGCTCAGAAGAAGGTTATAAAGGAAGAGTGAATAGCATGGGGCATGGGGGAAAGGGGGGGAGTAGAGGGCAGAGACTACCCCAGGAATCATAGTATTTCTCCATCCCCCAATTATGGAATCTCCTTTCCCTAGCTGCACTACCAGAAGCAGCTTCTGCTGATGGCCATCATGCCACTAGGATCCATTATAATCGGAAAGGGACCCTCCAATAATTAGCTGAAAGGGAGTGAGCCAAAGACAGAGTTTAGGCACCACAGACTCAGTTTCAGAATCCCATCCCACTCCCTGAGTAGTCCATCTTTTACTTTTAGTTGAGTGACCAATGAGGAACCCAAGAGTACTCTGGCCAGTACACAATAACGCCCTTCCTAAACTGTGTTCCCTTGACACTTTCAGGGACCTGAGGTTCAGAAGGACAAAACAGTCATGAATTTAAAGAGCACTTGAGGGTTTACAAAGCACAGTGTCTACTACTTAAGAATTGCCTGTTGTCTTGACCACAACCCTGTGAGATAGGTAGTAAAATTATCCCCATTTGGCAGATCAGGAAACTGAGGCAGAGAGTTAAGTGAATAGTCAATCCAGGGTCACAAAGCTAGTAAACCAAAGTTCAAACTCAAGTCATCTGAGCCTAAGAGGAATGCTCATATCACACAGTCTGTCACAGTACCTTTCAGCTCTGAAATTCTATGTCCTATATTCTAAGATTCTTTTCAACCCTGATAATTCTAAGATCTCTTTTTAAGATCTCTTCTAGCTCCAACATTCTATGTTCTAAGGTTCCTTCCACCTTCAACATCTGTGTTCTAAGATCTCTCCCAGCTCTGACATTCTAGGTTCTCTTTTCTATGGTCCATTTCACATTAACATCGAGAATTTATGGTCTTCCAGCTCCAACAGTCAATGGATATGATATGAATATTTTGAAGAGTCTCCTGGGGACCACTTGGGTCAGGGCTCTAAAAGCAGGACATGTGATTATGCTCTCAGTTTCTACACACATATATAGCTACTCAGTTCTGCTCCCAACATGCTATGTCCACAGAAGGGTATCCTCAGGAAGCTGTAGCAACCCTGCAGGGGCCTTTCTGGGTTCTGGCTCTCCAGATGGCCCTGCTGCCAGGTAATCTTGACTAGCACTCTGGATCAAGATGCTGGGCCTCATTACCATAACACTCCTACTCCTGGAGCCCCAGTGTTTCATGAATTACCCCTCCCAGAGAAATGAGCCCAACTCTATTAGGAGGAATAAAAGGTGCATTATTACAAGTGCTCAGATGCAGCTCTCATTTGAACACTTAATGGCTTGTTAATAAAGTCTAATTTGGGGAGCCTGGCGCACAGCCTCTGGGGGGGAAGGGCAAGCTCTGGTGATATTAATCAGGGGAGCTGAAGTCACTGCCTTAAGCCTGCTTGGCCTTTGGTGCCTTCACTGGAAAATGACAACTTAATCCATAACAGAAAAGACAGAGGGCACAGGGTGGGGGATGGAGGTGGGATGAAGGTATAACTGGTGCATACAAGCACAGGATATTAGCAATGTGGATGTGTGACTGTAAGTGCAGGATGAGAGATGGATGCAAACATGAGGAACCCAAGAGTATATGTGTGTGTGGGGGGGTGGTATGTAACTGTGGAGTAGGTATATGTATAGGATGACTGTATACATGTGTATAGATAGGGAGGATATATACACCTGCATATGTGCAGGATAACTGATGTATGTGTATGTTCTGGCTGACTGTATATGCATGGGAGGGAGGAGGACAGTAAGTGATTATTATGGACATGTAGGAGTGGGGGACTGCAGCGTGCATGCGTGGTGTGTGCGTGTGTGTGTGTGTGTGTGTGTGTGTGTGTGTGTGTGAGAGAGAGAGAGAGAGAGAAGAATCATAAGATTTAAAGCCAGACGGGACCTTAGAACACAGAATATAGAATGATAAATATGAGAGAGACCAGAGAACAGAGAGTATCAGAGTTGGCAAAGACCTTAGAACAGAGAATGTCAGAGCTAGAAAGGACCTTAGAATACAGGACATAAAATGTCACAGCTCAGAGAGATCTTACAGGGGTGGGGAATCTGTGGTCTCAAGGCTACATGTGGCCCTCTAGATCCTCAAGTGCAGCCCTTTGACTGAATCTAAATTTCACAGAACAAATACCCTTAATAAAAGGATTTGTTCTGTAAAACTTGGACTCAGTCAAAAGGCCGCACCCAAGGACCTAGAGGGCCATATGTAGCCTTGAGACCACAGATTTCCCCACCCTTGTGCTTAGAACATACAATATCAGAGCTGAAAGGGACCTTAGAACAGAGAATGTCAGAGCTGAAAGAGGTCTTAGACCATAGGATGTCAGAGCTGGGAGGGACCTTAGAACATAGAAAAATTGCTTGAGGTACTAAGTATCCAGGGTCACACAGCTACCATGTGTCAGAAGCAGTTATATATTTATACATATATACCCATTTACATATGGAGAGAAGCAGAACTATAATTGCATATATGGTAATACAGAATGTGTTATAAAGCAATACAATAAAGTTACATATAGAAATTTAACATAAAAGAAAGAAGTATCATTTCTCTGTTATATTCTGGATTATATAGGAAATATTTGTGAACAATTCAAAAAGTGATAAAAAAAATTATCTGTGGATGTTTTGTGTAGTATCTTGGCATTTGTATTAATAGTTAAAAGTTCTAATTTCACTTCCAAATAAAAATTAATTCACACACACACACAAAAGAAATTCAACATAATACATAGTAATATAATCATTTAAATATAATAGGAAGGAAAAAAAAGGAAACAAACATTTCATTAAGTTCCCACTATGTGCCAAGCACTGTGTTAGCCACTTTACAAATATTATTTCATTTGATCCTCACAACAATCCTATGGGGGTAGGTGCTGTTATTATCCCCATTTTACACGTGAGAAAACTCAGGCAGACAGAGATTAGATGACTTCTACAGTCATACAGCTAGCAAGTGACTTGGGCTAGATTGGAACTCAGGTCTCCCTGGCTGCGTACTGTCTCCACTGCACCACCTAGCGGCCTCTAATAATGTACTATATAATAATATGTATAAATGGCAATAAACATTGTATTATGATTATTATGCTATTTTATCTCTAATACTATATTAGAGATACGTATTTATGGTGCTGCTTCTGACACACAGGAACTGTGTGACTTGGGAAAAGTCAATTAACCACTCAGCACCCCAAGCAATTCTCTCAGTCTCTAAGTTGTACGGCAGATTCTGACCTGCTTCACTGGGAGATCTTCTTACTGGGAACTTCCTACCCCAATGAAATCGTAGGACTAGTCAAAAAAAAAAATCACATACACACATATAAAGTACATACAAGGAAATTTCAGGGTTTCAGTAGCACCATTTAGATATGATTTTGGCGGGCTTTGGAAAAACATTTTCTGTCATTATGGGTGGCTGGGGATGGGGGTCTTAAGGAGGAAGAGGAAAGGATGATCTGGCCAAGAAATTCCATTTCTATAAGCTTTTCCAAGGTGACTGAGGGCTTTCCCCAGAACCCTGTTGGGAAACAATCTTAGATCTCTGGATCCTAGGTCCAGAGCTGGAAGGCACTTCAGAAATCAGCAAGGTGAACCTTTTCATTTTACAGAAGAAGAAACTGAGTCACAGGGGTGGGGTCAGGCATGAAATGACTTTCCCAAAGTCTCACAGTTAGCAAGTAGCTGAGCTGAGTATTCAAACCCATGTCTGATACCTGTATTATTATCTTCATTTTACAGATAAAGATACTGAGGCTC